TTCTCCGACTCAGCAGGTGTAGGGGAACGAGTCCCGGCTATAATCAGCCACAGCCATCCAGTGTTTGATGCAGCCTGCTAGGAAACTGGCTAAACAAACTGTATTAATAGCTCGCGCTGCAGCCATGACTGTGGAATCTGAGGCTTGAATTGCCAGAGGGTAGGGGAGACCCCACAAAAAGAAAAAAAAGCCACAGAGGGGGGAGGGAGGGAGTGAAATAGTGAAAGCCCGTCAGCGATGGATCAATTGGAGGATCAGGGATATTTGCTGGATCAAAGGTGAGGGCGTGTAAATGTGTGCTGTGAGCTTTAGAGACCGGAGATCTGGGCAGTAGCTGGGCGGGTGCAGCAGCCAATATGTATTTATGTAAGCAAAGTGAACCTGAGATTTGGTAAATGGAACAAATGAAATCCTATATCTATGTGTGCATAACTAACCAGGCCTAGATGCCAAATCCATGCTGCGCTAGAAAACAATACGGGATAGACATGGCATGGGCAGTTCTCTATAATTAAATCAAAAACTCTGTGCCAAGGTTATTCACCGTCTGTCATTTTTATAAACACTTGCCGTGAGGTTTTGGCTCAATGATGAAGACAAATTGAAAAGCAAAAAAACAAGTCACTTGATGTCGTGTATCTCAAATAAAGCCTGCCAAAAAGCCACTGGGGCTGACAATCATTTTTGCAATATTACGCTCTAGCATCGTCAGTCAAATAATGGAATATAATAGAAAAGACTTCAAATCACTGACATTTTAATCAAATGCTTAGACTCGTAAATAAAAGCATACATGTTCAAGAAAATTGTATTACAAAAAAACAACATTTATTCACCATATGCGTGATGTGACAATGTTTTAGTTGCTGTAAAGACCATTTCAATCGCAGAGAAAAATCCCATATATCATGACTCAGAGTGGGTCAAGATGTTTGGTGGGACCGTCTGCTTTCTCGGGTGTAGCTTTATGTGATGGAATGAGGTACAACTCTGCCAAAAACATGACCTACATTCCTAATGAAGGTGTTGACATGCACGGGGATGCGGATCCTCGGGCGTTCAACAGCTCAAATTGCAATACTATGGATATCATTATTACTTGAGACTTTGACTCACATCACATTTTACTGCCAAACAACAGACAGGAAAATATGCTTTGTGAGTTTGCAGGGATGTGAACGAGGTCAATGTCAAACTGAAATCCAGTGGTGTGAAGTAACTAAATACATTTACTCAAGTACTGTACTTAACTACAATTTTGAGGGACTTGTACTTTGAGTATTTCAATGTTTTGCTACTTTGTACTTCTGCCCTGTTACAAATCAGAGGTATATAGTGTACTTTTACTCCAATACATTTATTGAATACCTTTAGTTACTTTGCAGATTTTAAATAATGATGTAAAATATAATCAAGAAATTCAAAAGATACCCTGCAGCTAACAAAGTAATTCAAATGAGCTGCAACTTTACTATATTTGATAAAAACTTTAATTAATTAACTATAATCAGAACATAGATTATATTTTAGAAAATCTGCATAATGAGTACTAAGAAAAGTATATTTTGATGCCAATACCCAAGTAAAGATTGTAATGCAAGACTCCTACTTGTTACAGAGTATTCTTACACTCTGGTATTTCTACTTCTACAACATCTAAGTACTTCTGCTGAAATCCCAAAGTCCAGCAAACTCTAGTTCCTTCTTCCAGACATAGCCGATTGACTTGAAAAAAGTTTGCCTTCATTACCGTCTGGCGACATACGGGCACACTTCGCCCTGCCTTTTCCCGTAACAAGACCGCCTTTTCTCCTCAGTAATTGGTTATAAGCACGTCAGTCAACGGTATCTAACGCACGCAACGCTTTGGATGCTGTCAATAACATCGTGTAGCTGAATCTCATTGGTTAGAAACCCGAAATCAACTTTTGTATCCACGAAAAACTAATGGCTAGCTGGTGTGGCTAGCGTTAACACAGGCCGAAAGCACATCCAAAGTGTGTAATAACAGCGCTACTACCAGCTTCAACGATGACAACTAACACACATTACAAGTTATTTAAATATATCTGAGGTGAACTGGTATGTTTTAAAGGCATTAAGGGCAGTGAAAGTCACAAAAGCAAAAAAAAAGCTAACAGTTAGTTGGTTAGCGGACTGACACTTGAGTGCAAAGCGAGACAGTGGGTCCGAATGAAGCGCTGCCACCACAGTTTGACAATTAAACAGACATGTATATTTAACTTTAAAAAACACCGAGAACTTAAGCATCGATGGCTACTTTGTCATAGTTTAGTCCGGTCCACATATATATAGTGAATTTAAAAGGTAATAAAGTGTTTACAAACTCACCCTTGCGCCCCTCTCTCTGGCTCCCCTCTCCTCTCCTCTCTTGGAATTTGACACTCCCCTCGACGTCAAGTCATCGCGAGAATTCACCTCAGTTCTCGCGGACAGGATTACTTAAATTATATAATTATAATAATTATAATAATAATAATAATTATTATTATTATATAATTTAAGTAATCCTGTCTAATAATAATAATTGTTATTATTATAATTATTATAATTATTATAATTATCATTATTATTATTATTATTATTATTATTATTATTATTATAATAATAATAATAATAATAATAATAATAATAATAATAATAATAATAATAATAATAATAATAATAATAATAATAATAATAATAATAATAGCCCCTACCTGTATTGCATATATACATTGCAAAAACTATGATTTACAATATAGCAATTTAATTTATTGTCTCTTGTGTTATTGTTTAATTATTTCTGTTTTACTTCTCAGACACAAGGAATTTGATAATGTGTTTACCTTCTTTGCTGTCTGTAAATGTGTTGTTAAATAAAGAGGAGGACATTTTTTTGTGAGTATAATGTTGAGAGGAGGGGCTCCTGAGGTTTATGTTGTTGCCTTCTATTATTATAATAATGCATAAATTGTACCTACATGCAAACACAAGCAAATATTTGCTCTGTCAATGTAGACCCTAAATATAAACACACAAGTGTGTTATTTTAGTATACTACATATATGTGCTTCCATTTTAAACCCAATTACTGTTGCATGATGTATTACAATACACATGATGAAAGCAAATAGTTGAAACCATTGTGTGAACAAATGACCATTAAATTGAGGGGGGTCTTTTCCCCTCTTGCTATGGTTTCCTTCCTGATATTCTCCCCCTATTCTCTGTCCTTGGAAGTGTACGTCCTGACTGTGGCAGTACAAGGCAACATGCTGTATAAACCTCAAACAATAGGCCGAAACATTAATAATACAATTGGTTGGATTTGAGATTATGCTAGCCAGCCTATAGTAAAGTGGTAAAGTACACCATTACCAATAGCTAACAACACCATTTCATCCCCATATCTGGCCTTAGTATGTACTGTATTAATGTATGTCTGTATGTCTGTATGTATGTCTGTATGTCTGTATGTATGTATGAATGAATGTATGTATGTACTGTATGTATGTACAATTTGTCTAAATTGTTTGTTTGGAGAACAGTATAACTTTATTACTGTTTTACTCTACTCATTCGTGAAATCAGAGACAAGGCTATAGGGCCCCCTAGTGGACAATCAGACCGTTAAAACATGCTTACATTGACTTCTGTGGGCCTATTCCTTTAAAGGGAGCACTATACAATACAAATACACAAGCTCTTAATTGACCATCTTAATGTTTTGCCAAGGTCACCACTGTTTTATGCCTGTGTTGTGTCATAAGTTCTTTAATGCCCAAAGTATTTGAAATATCTTGGAATCAGCTCAGAGTAAGAGTCAGGATTGTAAACGTATGATGGGGTTTCTCATATTGGAGCTCCTCAGGCTCTCAGATTAAAATGACTGTATATCAGTTGACTGAGTGCAGTGGTAATAGTGTACAGTCAGGTGTTGTTGTTGTTGTATGGCATGTTTGATCTCGTAGATAATGTTGTTTAGAGTTTAATTGTGGATGAATTTCCAAAGCAGCATCAGTCTCTGTCATTATGACACAGACAATGACACTGACAATGACACTGCTAAGGATGTTCCTTAGAGGAGCATGGAAAATGTAGTTTAATTAGCACAGAGCCTTAATCGCAGTGTATTAAGGTGCAAGCTAAACACAGCTGTAAAAAGTGAAATTGATGATGGCTGACATTTAGATTTAGAGTCCGCTGTTGTGCATGCTGGCTCACCTTCACTTACTGAACGGAACAAAGCCTTTGTTAATGTTATCAATAACACATGGCTTTCCTGCTCTTATAAGTAAAAATGTCTGCTGTGAAAAAGCATTATGCAAAAAAAACAACCCAACCTGATGAGGGGCAAAATTATGAAAATGACACAGCTAATTTGTTTCAGCAGGGTTTCATAGCCTATTGCAGCTGATGATTTGCCGATACATATGGGCTTTGACATCTGACATTGACACAGATAACATTTATTATGGTGACGTTCTAATTAAATTGTCCAAATTGTTACAGTGAGCAAGCATGACACTAGAGCCATGGTCAAGATGACTGGAACAGGGCCATAATAATCATTATGATGGGAATTTATATTGATTCAATATATATATGTAGGTTTCCTCGCTATGAAATGTTCTCAGACCGAAGGGTGTCGCCCTGACCATTGTCAGGCAATTATCATATGGATGTTAATTGTAATTAACATGCTGTGCTTCCCCTCCTGTCTGCCTCCCACCCAATTTAGGACTGTAATGTGGATTGCCTTCCTTCCTGTGTCTCATCTCTATAAATGACATTGCTTTTCCGTGTAACGGGTCAGATCCTGGTACTATCTACTAGTGCAGGACCTCTGTCCTTTCCAGCTGGAAATATGATTGATTCTGTTAAATGCTATAACTCTTTATTAAATAACACAACTTTGGTTTAAGCTTGTATATTTGTTCTTTTCTTACCAGAAGGTGATTAAGTGTGGAATTTCCACCACAATTATCACCCTGCAATTACATGTCAAAATAGCAGATTTATTTTTGAAGAACAATGGAGAGAAGAAAATAAATGAAATATAAAAAGGCATTTACTTTCATTGACAAAGAAAAAGCACTTTTGCAGGTGTACACAAGACATGATTCAAGGTATCTTTTTTTATACAGCAGCCCAATGGGAAAACAAAAACCAAGCACAGAAATTATCAGATGTCAAACAGATGACATGACAAACGCAAATATATATCATTCAAGCTTATTAAGTGAATCTTTCAAGGACAAAAACGTAGTAATCATGCAATTTCTTGGTTCTAACATTTAAATTAAAGTTTTTTTTTTTTAAAACATATGCTACAAGAATGAGGACCTAGGAACACATTTGAAAACCCTTTCTTTTGCAAGGTAAGACTGAGAACATCCATTGTAACACAAACAAAGAAACAACATGTATTCCTCCTTGGCAACTGCATCTTCATTAAAATAAAAGCCAAAATAAATAGTAAAATCGCATATGAAAGCAGGCTAGTGGACGTCACTTTTAACAGCGTTGAACACAGGACTAGAACAATGTGTCTGGCACATTTTGAGAAACTTATTTTAACCTAATTTTTTTTTTGTTGCAACATGTCATTGCTACATCACAAACAAAGCTGTTTCCATCGGGCACAACATCTTCTATGCTGGGCAGAGAGTGTTTTTCAACTTTTATTTTTTGTCTTTCCTTGGTGTTGCAAAAGTGATAGTGAGTTCACTGGGATGTCATTGAGAGAAAGATGGCCCCTCCAACTATTATAAACACTACATAACATTCTTTAGCACTATTTCAGGACCTGACTGCCTGCATCATCACACTTTAGCCCTTATCTTATCTTACATTTAAATCTCACAATGAGCATATACTAATTCTACCACCAAACTCAACATTTAGGATTTTCCTCATGCTCCGTGACAAACCATAATAACATTATAATTAAGTATTAAAAATGTAACATTAATACAAACATAATACATTTTGCATAATGAAAAATCAATAATAAGCCTACATGAAGCCTAAAAAACCTGATGTTATAGTTTTTCTCTGTACTGCATGGGCTGAGAAGAGACTTCTCTTCAACAGGCCAGCGTTAGCTACATGTGCATCATTTTCAGCTGTAGAAACAATATAAACATGAACTGGGGCAGTCTTCTTCCAACAACTGAAACTGATCACACTAAAACAAATGCACTGCTAATTAAGAAGTTTCCTCATAGATAATCAAAATAAAGACCTGGAGGTTTGAACATCTCTCCTGGGGCATACATCTGTACTCATTTGCAAAGTTTGATGAATGACGGGCCACTTTCAGACAGTATCTCACAATACCATGACACTCCCTTGCCAATAACTGCTTTCTGTTGAGCTAATAAAAAAGCTAGTGAGGTCTGAGAGCTCCCCAAAGGTGTTATCCCTTCAGTCTCTCAGCAGTAAATATTCTTTGATAGTCTCTGGTAAAGGAAGCTCTTTTACAGCAGTGGGGAGGAACTGGACCCCGAGACTCTGGCGGATGGCACAGCGCGACAGAGAGCGCAGCGTGGGAGCCTGAGACACCATGTTGGTCAGCCTGGCCAGCAGCTGGGGATCCTTACTCAGCTCCTTGGGAAGCGTGCCGTCAGCCCGGCGGATCTCAAAGCGTCCTGCAGCCCGGCACAGCAGCTCCAGGCACTCCTCCTCCTGCTCAGTGCCCAGGCCCCGGGCCAACAGGGCCACCAGGCGGGAGATAGGGGTCTGGCCCTTCAGGTTGGTGACATGGACCTGGGCGCCGTAGTCTAAAAGCACCTTGACACTCTCCAGGTTGCCCTTCATTGCTGCCCAGCTCAAAGGCGTGTCATTGTTGTAGTCCCTGGCGTTGGGAGAGGCCCCGCTCTCCAGCAGGGCCCTCACACACTCTGGGTTATCTTTGAAGGCAGCCCAGTGGAGTGGAGTGTCCTTGTTGCCGTCCAGGGCGTTGGGCAGGGCCCCGTACTCCAACAGCAGCTCCACGCAGGTCTCATCCTTCTCTGCTGCATAGTGCAGAGCTGTGCGGTTATATCCATCCAAAGCATTCACCTGATAGGAAATATAATGTTAAGCACAATGCTCTGATAAGGAGTTACACTTTTGGACATATTTATATTTTAAATCATGCAAACACAATTACCAGCACAGAAGGGTGATATACTTTTTCTGCATATGGACTGTGCACTTTTAAGTATGAGCAGCAGCACAAAGTGCAAAAGGGCTGGCTGAAGTGGGATATAGATTAGAGGGTGTGGTGATTCAGCACAAAAATAACACAGGGAGGCAAAAATAATTTGAAGGTCAGGAAAATGCCAAACTGTTTTAGCGCTGCTCGCAAGTTAGAGGTTCGGTTCAGAAAAAACAACCCATTCAATCCAGATGCCAAAGCTTTCTTAAAGAGAACCCCACAGAAAGAGCTTTAACAACTGGTACCAGCTGCAGGGCAAGGTTCAACTCTCAACAGGCCAACTTTAATATAGTACAGTGGCCACCTAGAAGGTAGAAAGCTAACCTATAATCGGTGTATGATATCAGGTATTGTTCAGTGTGTAGGAGTCATCTATGACGTACCTCTGCGCCCTTCTCCAACAGCAGCTCCACACAGTCAGCATCAGCGACCATACAGGCACAGTGCAGGGGCTTCAGAGTGCCATGCATCCGGTTTACATCAGCTCCCTTGGGGTATACAGGAGATAGAAAGATGTCAATATAACTGAAAACATTCACAAATATTATACATTTGAAGTTGGACTGGAAGATGAGGCCTACCTTACGAATGAGATCCTCCACATTGTCGTGTGGGAATGAGCGAATGGCTGCGATGGTGCGGATGAGCCGCTCGGACAAGGAATATTTACTTTGAATGCTTTGCATGATGTACCACATAGTAGAGCTCATGTGTAACTGAGGACCATGGCACCCAGGCCAGGGTGACACTACGGCACACTGAAACACACAATTTAATGAGTTTGGTTTAATAACTCTAAAACAATGGTGATTCTTGGGTCTTACAAAAATGTAAAGAGTCAAACAAAACACATTTTTAAATTACCTCAAGGCTAGTGTTTTATGGGTTATTAGATCTTTTTCAAAACGTTTTGGGAGAGAGTGCATGTCACACAACACAATTTAATGATGCTTTAACATAGATTTGCAATGGTTCCAGCTAAAATGTTAACTGAAGTTCCAAAAAGATAGTGTTTTGTAAAGCTAGTGTGTGTCAAGATTTAATTCGAAGGCTTTATTTTCATATGCACAGTAGTTACAGTGTAGTTATGGCAATGAGTCAAGTCCCAGTTTCCTCCAACAAGACATAAAACAATTAAAAACATTTTGAGAAAAAACTATAAAAATAGTGGAAGAAATAGAGTAGAAATAAAATAGTTCAAGATTATGTTGAAGAGAATGACCAAGTTAATGCAGAAGTCTATATACATGTAAAATAGACTAGGATACACAAGAACAGAATGTATGTAAACATTTAGATATCTGTAACAGTCCTTTATAAATTACATTGGCTGTACATAAATGGGTCGGGAAATGTGAGCTATATTGAATATCTTGTCTAGCAATATCTAATTTTATCTGGGAGTTTTCCCGTTTTCCGAAATGCACATGTCAAATAACAAAACATTTTCATTACTATAAACTCATTCCAAGATCACAATTCCATGCATTAACGTATGATGACAATTACAACATATTGTATTAGACACATGAGCACAAACAACATTTGACGAACTGAATAATTGTGTCCCGTTCTTTGATCATATTGTTTTTGTTGTTAGGTAAATACTGACAGGACAGCATAGCACAGGCAGACTACATGGTGTCTGCTTTTACTGTAGTTTGGCGATGCATATGTTTAGCTGTTTCTGCTCAATGGGAAACAGCCAGCAGAATATCAGCCTGTCATTTAGTACACGGAAACAACTGACTGTCACTTACAGCTAGCGTTAGCTCACTTGACAAGAACATGCTCCACGACAGAATAACATAAACAGCGATGCACGTTTAATACTCAGTGACATGTGTTTAAAACATAATCAATAAAAGGTAAGTACAAAACACACGTGCCACTTGACTTTGAGCAGAAAATATCCTCGGCTAAAACATTTTCTGCAGCTACCTTTAGCACCAAGTTAGCTAGCATACGAGCTAACGTTAGCATCCAGAGGAACAGTCGACACTCGTAGGCGAAAAACAATCAACTGACATTCACTACAAATACTCGTGAACGCACTTTCAACCCATCTTCGCATCATCCATGTATAAATGACTGATGCTAATGAGAGAACGTACCGTTGTGGGTCCACGGTGTGAAGTTCTGACAGGTTACCGTATGTTAGCTGCTCGGCTCCATAAACACAGCGCGTCACCACCGCCACGCCCTCCGTCCCTCTCTTTAAACCGGACAGGTCGCCTTACTCTGCGACAACACTTCACATAACTTGATGCTTTTATTTAAACGCCGGCTGTTTACGATGTCTGACTGGAAGGCATGTCTTTAAAAAGTGTGCTTGCGTTCCCAAAATAGATGTGGCCTCCAGCATGCCGTGAATGCCTCGAGCGCATGACCATGTTAAGGTACAGTGGAACAAGTGGCTTCACTAATCACTGTCAGGACCCCTGGTGCACAGCAAAGACACAGATATATGCATATATTACACATTCAAGACATTACACCAAATGGATCAGGGGCACACAACATAAATGGAAAATCATACTCTATACATATTTTGTTAAAAGTTGTATTATTAAGCAGGAGGACCTGAGGAGGAATTTAGTTAAGTATGGCAAGCTTTTATTACATATCTACCTTATCCGCTGTGGGTTGTAGTATAGGTGTAATACACTATTATAGTTAGAGTATCATTTCTAGATTTATTTTGTATGGAACCATTGTAATATATAAATTGGGCTGCCTTGAATCTTTTTACTGTATTAATTTCAGGTGTCGTTTTGCAACATGGAAGTTTCATTGCATTTGTATTTGTCATGACTTTGGGTTTTTCATATAAGATAAACACTTCTCTCACATATTTTTGTATATTTAATATCCAAACTAGTTATTAATCAGAAAGTTGAGAGTCCATTACATTTGGAAACAAGTGTTCAAGTTGAAGAACCTTTGGGCAATGCCAGTCATGTTATTTAAGCCACAAAGCTTCAGAAAACAGCAGAAAGTATGTATGATTGTGAAATAACTGCATTTGAATAGATTTGTTTTGCTATGGGAGTATTTGCTATTTTTAGTGATACTTTTGTTTTGTCTGCAATATGGAAATGAAATGATTGGACAAAAGCAACAATGAAGATATTAATTTTACATTATACAACAAAACTATATAAAAAGGGTTTAGAAGCAAACTAAAGATACTTTAAATTCAGAGGGCCTGGGTCTAACATCCTAAAATAATTTATAAACTTCCATGAGGATTTATTTTCTATAAAAAACAAAAAAAACAGCAACCAACGTTAATGTGCATAATGAGTAAAACAAAAGAAATGTGACACTGGAAAGCCAAATCAAAATAATTTATTTTTTGGTGACATTTCATACAGTTCTAGGATTGTGTCTCAAACACTTGGTTGATCCATTACTATATTTCTTTTTGCCACCCCAACCCAAATTAACAGAAAATAATCCAAACATTTGGAGGGGGGGAATTCCTGTAATCCTGGAATTTGCAAGCATGTTAACATCAACCATATGCTTCTAAAATGATTTCACATTACTTATGAGTAAGATTCTTTTTTAAAACAAGTTAGTGCATTTATTTAATTATACTAAATCACTAGCTGCTCATACTAAAAAATAACAGCCCCAGTGATTGGTTACTCATTTTACTGCATTACTAACCCAAAAGTCAATGCATCAAGTATGTTTGCTCAGCTGACATTTCCAACAGTATATAAATGTCATATGCGTGATTTTATTTTTTGCCAATGCGATTTCACACAACTTTGGGGAAACCAGCCTACCAAGATTGGGAGAAAAGCGTTGTGCATCAGAATTAAAATAAATACATTTAAAAAGCAATACATACAGTGAGTCAAACTTCAAATTCTAAGTCAATCCTTTTGTTTTTCAAAAATAAAAAAAGGGAGAAAATAAAAAACAGGAAATAAAAGAAAAGAAACCAGCAAACTCACCCTAAAAGCACAAACAATATGGTGGATAGGTGCTGTCAAAAGCCTCTCTCTGTTAATTCAGTACTAGAACAATTACATTCTCCCACACACATTTTCTAGTGAAGGGTAATCGAAATATAGCATAGGCAACTACACCTCTACAGCTTCTTCAAAATCCAGTTTCACTGGGCCAAAGGTTTGCCCAAGACTACATTATTTAGCAGACCTGTCAATAAAAATCAAAACGTTATCCTAGCACACTATGATCGTAGGCAGCTGGCACATAGCACGTGAAAATGTTCCAATTTTCTTTATAACCACGACATGGCTGCCAGATATCATGTAGCTATCATCCTCAGCTAACAGCACTCCTCAGACTATTTTTGACACTATGCCATTGTTAAGAACAATTCACAGATATAAGCTTAACCTGGATATCCATTGATGATGTAGAAAAGCCAAACCTCACCTTAACCAGGCGCACTGAACAGTCAAATCTTATTAACCTATTGTTTTTTTTTTCTCCTTGAAAACGTCACCCTACTACCAAAAACAAACATGTAAACAGAGAACCTGACTGATTATCAACATGACAATGTTCTGAATCCATAACCAAAACAGTTTCAGATTAATAAAGATAAAACTTAAACATGAAAAACTTTGGACCAGGCTAGCGGGTTAACGGTGGCTAACGGGCCAGTGAGAACCCCAAAGTGGATTTCGGCTTCAAACAAAACCACACATTTGACTGTGGCGTACAGCGACACTTTCTGATATCCGACTGATACAATTTTAGCCAATTATGAACCAGGATCAAAATACCACCATAGAACACATTTCATTAATATACATTAGAAGCCACACTGTCCAGTTTCAGGACAATGATTGTGAGTCGGATGTAAAAATTAAACATCATCAATTTCTTTACATCAGTGCAGCAGCACACTGTAGCACTTCAATCAAATTGCTTAACAATCAATGCATACACAGACATCAGTCAACCTTTCAGTCATACTTGCAAACCTAAGCACACACGGAAAAAACAAACTGATGTCTCATTGCGTGTTAGTGATATCTTTGTATATGTACATGACATATATGCATGTTCTTTTCTTCTTAGTGCATATTGTTCTTGCAGACATCTATTCTTTAAAATCAAAGAAAAAGGTAGAGAGCCATTTACGAGGCTCAGCATCCCACCTTTCCCTAGCAGGGCGTAAATGAGACTTCCTCCAGACACTTACAATTCTTTTAAGCATAATGCTGGAGGTCAAAACAAGATTTGTTTCCTTTTCAAATAATTCATCAAAGTTCTTCAGGTGTCATTTTGCCCATTGGTCCTGGATGTCCCGGTCTTAATGTCTTTTAAAAAGCTTTTCTGTGGACAAGTTCCAGGGGGAAGGTGGCTACCATTATGTTGTTGCTTTTATGTTATTCATTTTTATATATAATTATATATATCCATGTATATATTCAAACATCTTTTTTCTATTCATGTCGAGTTTTTACTTTGGCGATACTGGAGGGATATTCTGCTCTTTGCCAGTGTGCCTGTAGCCTCCCTGCGGAGAGCTGCGTCGGGCTGGAGGCGGGCGCCTCTGTTCCCGAAACTTGAGGCCCCCGTTGCCTCTGGGGCCGTTGCTGCGGTAGTAGCCTTGAGAGTCACGATCACGTGGAGGTCGGCTCTCCTTGCATTCCCACCCCCCCTCCCTGTCATGGACCTTCTCCTGCTTGTCTCCAGCAACGCTGCCGGAGCCCTGATCCTCAGCTTTGTTCACGCGCAACTCGCGTAGCGGCTGGCCAGACGCTGTGCCTGTGGAAACTGGGGCAGGGGCCGCAGGTGGAGGGTCCTTGGGTGGCCGTTGGCACACCTCGGCGTAGCTGAGCTTGCGTGGCTCCTTGAACAAGGCATGGAAAAAACACAATTTTAGAAAACGTGCAAAGGTGACTGATCAACTTTATTGATTTCCTTCATCAAACCCTCAGATCTCATAATCTTAACGCTCATCGGGGTAGGAGTGAACATCCTGGACGTTTGGTTGGAAAGGGCAGAGAGAGAGATAAAGAGAGAAACTGAAGGAGAGTGACAAGTAGAGAGAATGGAGAGAACCAAAGCCAGTCCGTCCACTACCTGACTTCCCTCTATGCGAACATGTTTTCATCATCAGGAAGACAGCTAAGCTCTAGAGCAGGCTGTCAAACAGAACCACATCCTCACCTGTGTGGCGCTGGGAGGAGGGGGGGCCGCAGCAGGAGCCGGCGTGCTTGGAGTCGCTGGTGTGGAGGTGACGGGGGCAGCAGCAAGAGGAGCAGCAGCAGCCGCAACAGAAGCAGCAGCAGCAGCAGGGGGCTGAGGCCTGGGGTTAGGCACAGGTTGTGTGGTGGGGGGTGGGATTACGGTAGTTTGAACTGGCGTGCGTGGAGCCACTTTTGGAGCTAGAGGCTCCGCCCGTTCAACCCTCTTCTCCTGGCGAGGGATACTGAAGAAAAACAAGAGTTTCAGACATTCAAATTGACTTTAACGAAGGTGTTAGATTATTTTGAGCTCAATTGTCTTCGTCTTACCCAGAGACCGGGGGTCCGAGTGGGAGTGCAGCAGGTTTGGCTGCTGGCAGGGCAGGACTGGAGACCGCCACAGCCTCCTCTGTGACTGGTGGTGGGGCCTGAAGCTGGACTCACAGTGGCTTCTTTATTGGCTTGTTCTGTCTATAAAAACACAGGGAGACAGGCACATTAAACCTTTGATTAACCTCAACCTCAACAATGCTCTATGCAGACAAGAGATTTACAAATCGTTAGTGTTCATTTCTTCTTACCTTGTCCCTGTACAACCCGCGTACAACATCCGACATTCGGTTCTCCAGCACTGGCTCTCCCTGTGTGCTGACCACGCAGCCAGGAAGTGGTGGGAAATTGGTAGCGGCCAAGTCAAACTTCGGTTGAGAAACCTTGATCTCTGCTAGCGGTACAGGCCTCTGGGAAGGGAAATTGAGCAAACAAACAGAAAATATCACCAAACGGTTCATATGTTTTAAATACATTCGAGTTTACAACGACAATAAAAATTGCCATTTACCGCAATCCGGTCATCTTCTCGCCTCCTCCGTGTTCCTCGGTAGGTTGTGCTCCGTCTGAAATGGAAATAAATGATCAGTTAAGTCAACTCACCATTAAAAAAGGGACACTGAACAAGACTTGAGATGCAATGCATAGTGGAATGATCATTTAGCTTTACAAGTAAATGTAGGTCCTTTTTTCCATTTTATATCATATTAAACTGAATATTTGGGAGATCTTAAAAAACATTAAAAAATCTCCTTGGAACGGACAGCGGTATGGACTACAGTTGAGTTCATGATTGGTTTAAGTTGTGGAAACCTTAAAGAGACGTACTGAACGTGAGAAGATGTGCAACACATCATAAACTCATTAGGAAGAGCTGAGAACGCCGATGTTAAATCTAAACGAGCCACTAATATCTTGACACACCACTAATAACACTGAGATATTCTTTGTCAAAGGTAAGCAGGGTGATCTTCTCGTGAGTCTTTGACCCTCAGATCTCATAATCTGAACGCTCATCGAGATGTGAGTGAAGCTCCTGACTTTGGAAGAGAAGGAAAGAGAGAGACAGACAAAGAGAAGAGAAACATGAAGAGGAGAAAGAGAGAACCAAAGCCAGTTACTCCACTCCCCAGTTTCCCTCTATGCGCATTTTGATTTCATCATCGGGTCTGACTTGAGAAGAGTCCAGTACGATCATTCTTTGTGAAGCTGCTTTTATTAAAATGGCATTAACAGACTTGCAAAGTTGTCCTCTCTTTGTGAAAACAAAAGGGACAATTCAAAGTCGATTAATCGATCAGTCTAACCAAACATTTGTCACAACCAATGAACAGCAGCCATTACAGTGAAGTATGTTTACCTTCCACGTCCAGCCATGCCGCTGTCATCACTGGGATCCAAAGACGAGGAAGAGGAGGAAAGATGTGAGAACGCGGAGCTCAGGTCAGAGGCGGCCTGGACCGGCAGGGTGGCGAGGGGAGCAGGGGGCTGGGGGCTGCGCAGTCCAGTCAGACTCTCCAGGGGGACAGGGGTTACTGACGCTGAGGTCACCTCACCTGTCCTCACCTGGGGCTTCACATGGTTCCTGTAGCAGAGGGGAGAAGGAGAAGGTAAGCATGGTCAACCTTAAGATGAAAATGTTTGTAAGGCATACTGTTGACCAGTGTTTCCTTTCCAGTTTGCAACCAGTGTTAAAAACTAAAAAGGACAGCATGACTGTCCTTAAAGTTACTCTACCAATGTAGTTCAACAATTCATTAATATGTGGGGGCTAATGTTTTATTATTTTCTCCTTATAGCTTTGTGAAGCACCTTGAGATGAGATTGTTTTTAAAGTGTGCTATATAAATCAAATGTATTATTATAATAGTATCTTGATGCTTTAAAAAGCAGCAAATACAGTTGAGCAGATATGATGTAAATGGTAATGCCATGGTAAACCACAGTTTGGTCTTTCAAGTGGCACTTGTGATTGGACTTAATGCCATCACAGAGTAAACAGTGTAATCACGGTTATGAGATGAGAATTGGAACAGACCGTAATAAGCCTATATTACTTTTGTATATAATGGAGGCTGAAGCATCTGAATCAGTTGATGGAAACACTGGTGTGCTCAGTTTGCAGCAGGAATAAGAGACAGCATGCTCTGTCCTCAGGGAAAATGTGAAGGCATGCATGGACGGAGGTTTGGACTACATTTGTGTTAATGATTGGTTGAAGCTGTGGAGACTTTGACGGCAACATACATGTGCCACTAATAACACCGAGACGTTGTTTGTCAAAGGTAAGCAGCGTGATTCACATGGACTCATCTTCTCGTGAGTCTTTGGCCCTCAGATCTCATAATCTGAACGCTCATCGGGACCCGAGTGAAGCTCCTGACTTTTGAAGATAAGGAGAGAGAGAGAGAGAGAGAGAGAGAGAGAGAGAGAGAGAGAGAGAGAGAGAGAGAGAGAGAGAGCGAGAGAGAGAGAGAGAGAGAGAGAGATAGAGTAGTGCAGATAGAGAGAGATAGATATAGAGAGAGCAGGAGAGATAAGAGTAGAGCCGGACACTTAGAAAAAAGATATAGCTATAGAGAGATCTCGATATAGAGAGATAGAGCGATGCTATAAGCTCTCTCTCTCTCTCTCTCTCTCTCTCTTCTCTCTATCTCTCTCTCTCTCATATTCTCTCTCTCTCTCTCTCTCCCTCTCCTTCTCTCTCTTCTCTCTCTCTCTCTCTCTCTCTCTCTCTCTCTCTCTCTCTCTCTCTCCTCGCTCTCTCTCTCCTCTCTCTTTCTCTCGCTCTCTCCTCTCTCCTCTCTCTACGCTCTCTTCCTCTCTCTCTCTCTCTTACCTTTGATAGGATAAAGATAGACCCCGAAGCCAGTTACTCCACTCCCGGGTTTCCCTCTATGCGCATATTGATCTCATCATCGGTTCTGACTTGAGAAGAGTCCCAATAAGATATTTCTTTTTGGTGAAGCTGCTTTTTTATCACAATAACAAACTGGCAAAGTTGTTCATCTCTTTGTTAAAGACCAAAGCGTACTGATTAAAGCTTGACGGCTGCCTGACCGGGACCCAACCCCAAACTGTGGGCATCTCTTTGCTAAAGCATGTAACAAAGTAATACAATCACTGATGAAGAAAGCAGCAGTAAAAACAAAAGCAATGAACAAATAATAATGGTTATTAGTTGTGATGGAGAGATACATGTAACCATGTTGATACAAAAAAAGGAAGTTTTGGAGCCAAGGCGGCCATAAGTGAAAAAGCCAGTTGCTCAGAATCAGATGGATGCTTCTGCCAGTCAGCAGACAAACCTACATTTATCAGATGAAGTGGCAAATCTAGGTTGTTCGTTACCTGGCAACAAACATTAACATATACAAAGGGTAATGGCCATAAAGTCTGACCGGCAAAAGGCAAAAGCCCCGTTATGGATCTTTGGCAGTGGCAGTATGGCAAGAGATGAAGGTAGCAAATGAAGCTTATTGTATAACAGTGGTACCTGAAGGCATTTATTACATTCTTTCTTGAATAGAGGGGGACACTGTGGGGACAGTAAGAAGACAGGGAGTGAAGCACAGTTCCCCGGTGAGTTCACATTATGTCGCACACTTGGACAACACTTCACTGTCAGATGATCTGATGTTCACAACTTATCATTCAAACAATGACACAAGTGGTAAAATATTTAAATAAAATGTTTAATGCAAAAATCTGACTTAGATCTAAGGGCACAATGAGTAGGATTTGTCTGTTTTTGTTTAACACAAGATTTGGCCCCTACTCCCCGGCTCAACGAGGGAAAGGGATCTGGCCCGGGGCTGAAAACTAACCCCAGCTTTACTCTCGTGTTATTTGCAGTTTTCCAGTGTTGTGAGCCATTTTTATAGTTTTCTCGGATGCTTGTTTACCACCTGGCACCTTGTTGTTTTTATAGAGCTTGAAGCCAATTAATGTCCCGAACGCAGCCAAATAAATAAGGACAAGATATACAGGAAGAGGACAGGGTCCCTGCAGATGCAGACAACACCATACACTTGTAGTGAGTCATACATCATTATTGAAAGGGATTTTCTACACAAAAAATCCTACAAATGTTGCCTTTAAGTCAAAAAACTAAAAGAAAACAAACAAACAACAAGAAAACATGTGCTTACCGGTTTCTGTTGAATGGGCGAGTGATATTAAGAGAATTGGAGCCAGTTTTGTAGTGTCCGGCTGAGCCAAATCCATTCACAAAGCTACTGTTGGGAAACGGGGCCTGTAAATCGGAAAAGAGTAAACACTTACCAACCCTATTTGAGTCAGTGGTTTCATGTATTTCAGTATGCAAATACAATTGTAAAGTTATGTTCTTCCTAGTTGCTGCCACAGAGACCTGAAAAAACATTCCCCAAGGGGTATAACTTTATAAATTACACAATGTTTTGATTTACTTGCTATGCAAACTACTGTGTGTTTAGGTCTATGACAATTTGCAGAGATGGAAAGACTCATTTGAATTGACGTGATGCATTGCTTTTCAGACGTTGCATCAAACAGGTTTGACCCCACACTACTTGTGGCCTTGAGGTTTCTGGATCGTTTCGTGCATCACATTTACTGATGATGCACTGAAACAACATGAACATAAGAGTGGTGCATGAAGGGTGAATATTACAGGGTAGGTGTGTGTGATCGTCTCGTTGTGAGTGCAGTATGTCTCACCAGAGGAGTTTCAAAGTACGGTGTGGGCGAAGCCGTCCAGGTGGGAGGTACGATGCCGTAGACCGGGTACTGCTGCTGGGGGTAGACGTGCTGCATGTAGAGCGGAGAGCTGTACTGGGACTGGATCTGGGACTGCTGTGCGTACAGGCTGCTGTCCATGCTACGGTAGCCATTCTTTGCAAAGAATGTGTTGATGGCCTTTATCCTGGCCTGTCAGCATGGAAAACCAGGGAAAGAGCAAAGACTGAAATAACTGAAAACAACTTCGCAGACGGGCCTTTCCAAAATGACAAAGAAGTTTTAATTTAACTCACCATAATGGGTTTTCCCTGAAATGTTTTTACTTCCTCTCTCAAATACTTGTATGCCTAGGGGAGTACAAGGGAGAATCATGAGTGAAATACATGGCTTACTGAGAAAAGACCGTGTAGAGACATTTCACTTTGCATTACCTGCTGAGCGTCGGTGTCTGATTGGAATGTGATGTACCAGTTGTTGTTGTGCGCAAACTCAACACTGATCACTTTTGGACAGTTGTCATTTTTGAACAGTGCCTCCACTTCCTGTGAATAACATAAACAAGGGTTTTAAACATGTAAACATCTACATCCTTATTGCAATTTGATGCATCCAAAGGCAGTGTGGCTGTGTATGCACAGGTCAGCCTTACCTCAACAGGAGTGGTTTCAGGTACCTCCCTGAGAATGATAATGCACCGCTTGTGATTTGGACGCACTTTCTCCCCTTTCTCATCCACTTGTACCATAGGAGAGGCTGAGGGGGAAAGATGGGGAAATGTATTTAAATATAGACACATCACAGATACATGAAGCTCTTTTTAATTGACATCGTCTTAAACTCTCCACTCACATCTCAACACATCCAGGATGAGGTCCATGTCAGTGGTGAGGACCTTGATGCCCTCCATGCTGGCAATAGTCCAAATGGGGACAAACTGGTCACTGTCCATCTGGGACATCAGGTACAAATCCTTTGAGAGGTTCTCTCTGAATAACACAAATAAATCAATGTAGATTAGCCTTCTCTTGAAAAACAGGTTTTATATTTTACATTATAAAAATGGTGGTTCGAGTGCTTGACTCTTACCTGGAGAAGTAAAACTCCAGCTCCTTCTTCAGAGACTCTCGTAGATTCTCAGAGGAGATCTGAGGCGGCTCTTCAGTTTTAGAATCTGCTGAGACCCAAAACAAAATGTCAGTCGTAATACAACACAACTGTCAATAATGTTCTCTATGACGCATTTAATGTTGAGTTTTTGTTGACAATGTCATAACTCAATAATATGCGTCATCATGGACAGAGCCAAAGTGGACCCTCAAACATGCCTCTTAACAATGGCAGGGACATCAAGTAAAAATATATCGTTTTCCCCTTCATCTCAAGAGATATGTTGAGGGTGAATCTATAGCCATGTGAAAACTATTTGATATGTGAAAAATGACTTTACCAGAGAGGGAAGGTATAATACAAAATATGCTGTTATGTTGCATTGTGGGCCGTGTAGGATCCAGCATTGCGGAGTTTGACTCCTACTTTGAATTCAAGTACACCTTCAAGAGAAGGGCCGTATGTTAGACAACCAGTCTAAACAGGTCAAAAAAGGATTGAACGTGTGATTAATTATCTCAAAGCCAAACACAGGACTTACATGTGGGGTGATAAATGAAATACTAGTAGCTGTGTAAGTCAAGTGTAGCCAAAGCGTCTGTGTGTTTATAGTTCCAGCTGGCTGTGAGACACCCCGTTGGGAACACTATTTAAACCATGATTCTAGATTAGGACCAAGTGGACTGAGAACATTAAACCTGAAGGGCTTAAGGTGAATTAATAGAATAAATTAGCAGAATATAATTCCATTTATGGTATGCTCTTCATTTAAAGTGGACCTATCATGCTATATTTAAATGATATATTGTAGGGCCATACCTATATAAGGTATATTTATACGTTTCTGTTTTCAAAATACCAAACAGATCATGCATTTTAGCCATGCCTCATTTCACTCTATGTGCTGTTTGCTGTCTACGGGTCTGATTCTGCTGACCACGCCCCCCTGCAGGAGAGGTGAGACGTGCTCTGATCAGCTGCTGGGCTGTCAGAAGAAGGGGAGAAAAAGAGATCTCCGTCCTCCGTGTTTTATTATATAGAGTCGTTATTCATTTGTTTTAAAGCTCAATAAATAACAAAGAAGACCTTTGACCGGCACTTTTCTAATTTTGTCCGGAAGATTGAAACTTTAACGGACATCTTGACCGGCGAAAGAAACTGAAACTGAAACTCTGCCGGACGGTCCCCTCGTTCCTTGGAAGAGGCGGAGAGGTGGGTGTTTGTCATCTGCTGGTGGACTAACCGGAGAGAATTACAGTGCTTGCCTCGACGGGGAGGGATTGCATTGAATTAAAGCAGCGGGAGCAAACGCTTGCCTCGGGGAGGGAGAAAAAAATCCACAGCGGAGAATAAACAGAAGGGTAACCATGGTAACTATGGGCGGGAAGTCTTCTTCGCTGCTTTTGTGGCAGACTACAGCGCCACTTACAGGCCTGGCATATGTACTACAGCGTCTCCAGCGCTTTCGATCAGTCTGTATCAGATCCGTTGCAGCCCCTTTTTTAGAGATTTGGGTATGGAGGAAAATAGAGAGGGTTGTGTTTTCTGACACTTGGTGAGTTCCCTGGAACACCGGGGACACATATTCATGTATAAAAGACGTACAAAAGTGCATTTTGCATGATAGGTCCCCTTTAAAGTAACACTGTGCCATGTTTATTGTAAAACAAATTACAGCTAATGTTATATAATGAAAGCTCTGGAAGAGCCAGGCTAGACATGTTATTAAATGTAAGCAAGGCCCATTAGTGAGACGATACTCGCGCAACAGATTTGGTGTTTAAGCTGATGGCAGGGTATATGCAGGAATCCTGCAGTCAAATTGAATACCCTTTAAGACCTTTTTTTAAGACACACTACACACCTACGCAATGATTACATTCAGGCAGACTGTAGAATACAACCTCTTTGGACAATTTATATACTTATTGAAAACAAGCTACACCATTTAATACCTTGGAAAATGCTGTTTAATACTTTTTAATAGCCTTAATTTTCGCTAAATTGATTCAACTTTTAATACTTTTTAAGACCCCGCGGACACCCTGGATGGGGCTGTTTATGATGTTTCACCATCATTATTATATCAAGCTTAACATGAATACATTAATAAAAAGAGAAGAGGCCTGAGTTGCAGTCACAGTTGGTGTGTGGAGAGGACAGCATGTGATGTGAAGTGACTGACCTGGGATCCCCGTGGTGGACTCGGCGGGGGAAACGCCCAACTCTGGAGGGTCCATTCCATTTACTGCTATCTCAGCTGTTGCCGAGGAGCTGCTGTCATCCAGGGCCGTGAATCCCACGGTGAACGGCTTACACCCCGCAGACGAAGGCTCAGAATAACCTGTGAGCAAGGTAAAGAGTTTTATTGAGAAGCAACAACATCCAGTCTAAAATTCAGGGCTGTTTTTCTTTGTCTTTACAAGGCCTTTAATAAGTCGTTTTACAGGTGATGTCAACATATGGTTAAAATAAACAAAAATCCAAATTGTAATTCAAACGTGTATACAAGTGCAAAAAGGTCACCATTTGTAAAAAAAAAAAAAAATGTAATATGCTTTTACATATTAAAGCTATGTCAATTTTATTAAACACCATTTAGAGTTTTCTAAGCACATTTAATTCCAATGATGCAAGTGTAACTCACCCTCACTGATGTCTGCGGGGGGCCAATGAGGGCTGTTGGTAACAGCCTCGCTGGGGGCCACGGGCATCTCCTGCCACACTTTGGCATTTGGGTTCAAACCGGCACCCTTAGAGGTGACCTTCAGAGCAGAAACAGCATGATTAGGCAAGTTAAATTAATAGCAAAGATAAAAGGCAGACTTACATGCTAATTTTAGCTTTATCTAACATGTATTAGCCACAAACACACCATTTACACAGCTTGCATGTAAAGCGAGAACTAATCCCATTTAGACTGCTTTTTTTTTGTTATGTGATTTGCATCTAACTGGTGTTTTTCATCTGCAACTGAGACCTAGAGTACGATCAGATTAAATATTCTTGCTGATTCACCACAGACTTGCCATCTCATCTCTTCTTGGCATCACACTTGTCTCAGGGCTACTGTCAAAACTGAGCTGGTAAAACAAATGTGTTGACAACGTTACAGGTTTTTAAACACACCACCGCACCAGGTATGTTTGCAACTCTCATGTCAAGCCATTAATACTTATTTATTTATAAGTACAAAACCATTGATTTCCTTTTATATTCAATATCAAGCACTGAGCAGCAAGCACCAGCCTTCTTAATGCATTAAATAAAACCTAATGACCATAAAGTGTAGGATCCAATCGCCTGAGGAGATCTATGAGCATCCAGGCGGAAATCTGAAGGGAACATGATAACTTAATGTAACTACGGCTATGGACGTATATACTAATGTAACCTGAAAAACAATTAAACAGTTGCCTTTGTTTGAACAAGCAAACTGAAAGAAAAAAAACACTCCAGATAATGCACGACTAATCCATGTGATTAAAGCAATTATCAACAAATCCATTTTTCATTCTTAGATTATATTTACCTTGTGTTTGGATAAACATTAGATCAATACTGTGTGCTGCAAAGGCCTATTATCCATCAAAAAGCATCAACATACAAACGAAAACCAGGCAAATACAACCGAAGAACTTTACAGGTTTAACCAGAATTAAAAAGTGGTCACCAACAAATTGCTCAAGTACCAACCATCACCACAACTGCTGAGATCACTTATTACTTTTGCCTTGTGTGAGTGAGCGGGGATTAATTAAAATCACCTGATGCAATCTTAGGATATTGGTAACACTTGCAAACTATTGGGCCTTAATGGCATCTAATTGGAAACAAGGAGTGCAATGAAATGTGCCAGAGAGGGCCCCATGATCCCCTGTTGACGAAATAGGCTATATTACCCTAAGCTTTGAGCAACCACACAGTCTGTGTAGTAATACATGTTGATAGAAACAACAATAACGATTTTAAGTTGACTTTGGCTGGCTTTTCACCCACATATTTATATTTTGATGCACAATATTTAAGGATTAGATCAGACTCCGCAAATCAAAAGGGCTGTGGACTGGCAGTATAAATCCTGACCCAGCAAAGACCTGTGGCCAAGAATAGATCGCATACTTTACATGTTGAGGCATACAGATGCTACTGATACTGATATTAAGCAAGGTGGATTGCACTGATGTCCAAAGAGGAGTGGATGGCAGCTGTTCACCAACTTTGAAACTGTTAAATGTACCAGCTTCTTCTTTTGACATTGTAATTTGCCACCTGCCAATAGATGCTTCCAGTAAAAGCATTCGGCCTGACAAGTACAGCTGCCACTTTACGATTGACCTCAGGACACTTCTCTCCACAAAGTATACGAGAATGGATGTGCCACACGGTGGGGTGTCATTCAGAAGAGCACAAGCATGCATGTGCAACTTGACACATGGTTACAATGCTGGCTTCTGTGTTGCAGGCCGTGGCAAGCCAAGTAATGTCAGCTGACTGCGCTGCGCAGCACAGGCCAGGTATTTGCAACGCATGTCACTGCGCTAGCTCAGTTAGCTAGCAGCACGATTAGCCAACAGATACCGTTAGTGAATGAATATTTACCCTTCGGCCAATAATCTAGACATCGATCCCATACCGATCGAAAACAAGTCAATCAGCACTCCTCGGCTCCCAATACCAATGCCGTCAGTCTGCAGCTGTGCCATAACTTAACTTACAGGCTAACGATTACTCAGCAAACTACTTAACGAGCTTGCTTGTTACAGTGGCTAAGCTAGCACCGGTTGGCTCCCTGTAGGGACTGCAGAGGAGATCAGGCTAAGTGTGTAAAATCACCTGCTGTACACAGGGCTGCAAGTTAGTCATTAGTCCTGCAACTGCTGCCGTATGAGCGGCGTCTGAGGCTGTTTTTGCTTGGTAATCAATATCACGTTTCGATAAAACCCTATCAGATATTGATATCACAAATAGTCACAAAGTCTGAAACATAGGATCTTTAAATAGGTTTTTAATTAATTTTAGCTTTTGCTAAATGCATATCATTCGTCGCGCAGAGGGGGGCGTACTGTGCTAACAGGTCTCTAAAGGGTAGCTTAGCTAGCTAAAGTAGGCCTCACCATGCCGCCTGACCCTCCGTCGCTCCCCAGCGGAGCCTCGTCCTTCCCACCGGTCTCCGGTCCGGGGTCCTCCTGCAGCAGCGGCGGCTCTCCGCTCTGGTCTGAACTCATCAGCCGCTCCTGACTCACTTCCTCTCCGTCGCGTTCTCCCGCCTGCCACCACCTCTCCTCCCCGAAACGGCGACTGTGTTCAGCAGTCAGTCCGGTTCTCTCCTGTTCGACTGGATTGGCAGTAGCACTGAAACTAGCTCACTAGCTAGCTAGCCGGCTAGCAGGTATGCTACACAGCTAGCGACCTAGCGTGCTATGAATCAACGAAGCGGGCTAACGCCAGCTAGCTCAATGAATCAAACTCACAGTCAGATACTAATGGTGTAAACGATTTCAAACCATGACTCTTCTTAGACCACAGTCTCCGCTAGCGTTTCGTCAAATATAACACCACCCTGCGGGTTCGTGAGGCGCATTCCTAACCGGGCGACCGGAGCGGACACTGGGGACACGCACCCTTCCTCGCGCAGGCACACACAGTCCGCCGACGTCCCGGCTGCCACCGCGGGTTCTCGGTGACCTCTGCAAAAACCATTTCCTCTTCCTTTTCCGGATCCACACTGTAGTTTTCTGCAGTTTAAAAAAAAAAAGCCTCAGCGATAGATTCAACACAATACACTATGCGAGTTTTGTATTATCAATCTTATAATAGTTTTACATTCATAAATATGAGTTTTCTAAAGTAAACATCAGTTAAATTATTTAGATAAAGAAAGGAGGTAGCCTCCTGAGACCCAGAAAGAAAAAGGTTTCAAATTTCCTTTTTTTTTTTAGATCACACAAGTGTTTAGGGTGGTATTAACATAATGACTAACACAAACTAAAAATATATATTTACATTTTTGTTTTATTGTGTGTCCTTTGTAGAGGACATCGGGTGTTATGCGAAGCATACAAACAACATTAACATACAAGTACATTTAGACAACATTAGAGCACAACAACTCAATGTAACAAATACTGAGCCCTCATTTGTAGTACTCCATCCTTTTTCGAAATGCAGAGCTAAATCTGACACTTGAGGCACTTGATGTATGTTTTCCCACTGCATCCGTCTGCCATGAACCCTACAGAAACCCACGTGTTAGTTTTGGCCCATAGTGGACGACGGGCCTTTTTTTCTGTACGTCTCCTGCTCTTCCTCCTCCTCTGAGTTGTCAACCTCTTCCTCTTCCTCAATCATTGCCTGTGAATCCTCATCATCTGACAGGTCTATGTCTGAGTCTCCCTCAATGATTCTGTTCAGATTTCTCTCTGCCTTGGTTAGTGAGCTGCCTCCATTTGTGTCGTGTAAAATGAGGGAAATAAAAAGTTAGCAAATCCCTATGTCCTCCTCAGAGGACATTCATAAAAACATTTAGTTTTAGGTCAAATCATTAATACACTGCTCTGAAAACTCACTACACTAACTCCTAAGATGTTCCCTTACTATAAGTAATTAAAACATCGAACTCACAACACTGGTAATTACAAAATTACAAACTTACCATTTCTCTTTCTACAAATAGTGCTTGTGTTGATGGACGCCATTTTGAAATACAATGACATTTTCAAAGCCACACCCCCACATATGTCATATGTTTGAAAAGCCCAGAATGTCCTCTGTGGAGTACAATTGGACTTAATGCTGTGGCATGTATAACCTCATAGTAATGAACCAAAAACCAATGTGCACCACAGAGGACAAAAATGAATGGGTGGGTCTCTGGAGGATAAATGGAGAAAATAAATGAAACACAAAAGCCTTTAAAACTGTGAGACTGTACAAGTTAGTCATTAATCCCCCAAGGATGTTAAGGCCTACAATGGGAAAGTCCATGTCTGGAGTTCAATTCACAATAAGTTTAGAAAACACGCATTTAGGGTGTTTTACATAAAAAATAAAAGAACAGCAAAATGTACAAATAGAAAGAGACATGAATACACATAAAATAATTTCACATACAGAAACATACTGTACTGTTTATCATTTTAACCTTTTGTTTAATATACTGTAATAATGTGGGGTGGCATAATGGACCTTTGGCTCAGGTCACCGGTTCAAGTCTCCAAATAAAACAAGTGTGAACTGGTAACTGGAGAGAAGTCAGTTCGCCTACTGGGCACTGCTGAGGGGTGAGGCACAGGACCCCCACACTGCCCTCCTGTTTCTAATAGCACTGTGTGGGCTGTCTGACAATAAAATGTTAATTAGATACAATTTCTCCATGTAAATTATTTTTGCTATCATCTCTCAGGCTTACATAATACGTATGTATATATATATTCAATATAAAAAGTATATTTATAGTAAACAGACAGACACAAACAAATATATATACATATATACATTGAAATAGTCAGTCCACAATACAGAAATATGTATACAAAATGTGTTTCTAATTAAACACATACATTGGTGAATGTATATGATTGCAATTAAGGGATTACAAAATAAATAAATAAAGTAGCAAAAAAAAATGCCAACATAGGGGTCAACATAAATAAATTGTTACTAAAAACCTTAGATTTATTTTTATGTAAAGCACTCTGTACGTCTCCTGCTCTTCCTCCTCCTCCTCTGAGTTGTCAACCTCTTCCTCTTCCTCAATCATTGCCTGTGAATCCTCATCATCTGACGGTGCTATACAGATACATTTGGATTCAATTAAACTCCACATGTGAAATGTCCCCCTGTAGACCGGAAACTCAATGTGTTAAACACACACAGCCTGCTCAAATCATAATTGGTGAATAACTTATCAATGTTTTCAATGTACATATACTGGTATACTGTATTTTATTGATTCAATTCTTATTTTAATTGTTTGTTTCTCAGAGAAATTCACATTCTACATTATATAAAATAAAGGACAAACAATCCCATTTTTGTAAATATACTTTAATTGGTTGCTTGGTATCAGAATCACTAAAGGTTTGAGACTTGTGAGAGATACAGTACAACTGTAGATACACTTGGGGATTAATTAAGGAAAAGAGTCATAAGTATCATAGATTGAGCCAAAGCCCTGTACTTCAATGCTGAGAAAGGATAAGACAGGAAGTGGGACAAGAACATTTGCCTGGCTCTGTCTTGGGAGAAGACTATTTCCCCAGATCGCCCCTTTTGTAGATCACATGCTCCATGTCGGTGTGTTCGGATGTGTCTAGTTTGATGTCGTACTTGGCCAGGATCTTCATGATGGGCCTGATCTTCAGCCACCACTGTGTTTTAGGGATGCGGTGCCTGCAGCAGAAGGAGGAGGGATGTTACTCACCATATATTCACCATTAAATATGTCATAATTAGTGCAATAAGTTATATGGAAAACATCTGACTCAAGATCTGTGTCTGCCTTCAGTTCAGTCAGAGGCTGGAAGGTGAGCGCTCTCTTCCTCATTCCCAGCACGCAGGCAGAGTCTGGTGTGTTGGCAAAGATGCGACCTAAAGGACACAGGAATTTAAACAATTGCACTCAGACTTTACTTTACTTAAAATAGCAATACCTAAATGTAAAAATACTGCATTGCAAGCCAAATTCCTGCAATCAAAATTATACAGAAGAAATAGGAGACATGTATCGAGAATCTAAATCATGATTTTATATTTGATTTATATGATTGTATATTGTATGCATTTCTACATGAACTCAGGTTTTCATTTAAAATGAGATCCCAATTTTGATGGGATTTACCTGATTTAATAAAGGTTATCTAAGATAATGTAGCTATCAAAATGACTCATTATTGCCCCCCTGTGTGTGTGTTATATGATTACATAATTACTCATTAATTGTGTAAGTGGCATTTTAATTCTACAATTTCACAAACTTATTTTCTGTAGTTTGCATCAGCTGAACATATGTTTTGTATATAAGATTTTCATCTGCAAAGTACAGATTAATGTAGTAGAGAAAAAACTAAAGTATCTTCCTTTAAGATGTAGTAACATTTAAATAAAAGCAACAATAATAAAATGGAAAAGCTCAAGAGGGTACAAGTACATTTCATATTTTAAATATGTGCAACAGAAACCTTTGATCTGCACATACCGTGTCTGTAACACTCCTTGAGTTTGTCTGTCAGCCACAGAACGGTCTTGGCACCCATCTTTGTGCCAAAGTTTCTGTCGAAGGGTGTTGGAGTGCCACCCTGTAGACAATGAAGGACAAATGGGTTTAGCATCCATCCAATTGTAATACATCAATAACATGGAAAAGGAGGTTTTGCTGCGTGAACAGACCTGCTGCATGTGTCCGAGGACGTTCTTACGGCAGTCAAAGATGCCTTTGCCCTCCTCTGAGTACAGGTTGAAGATGAAGTCAGTAGTGTAATTGGCATTAGAGTTCTCATTCCTATCGTAGAAAGAAAAGAGACGGATTATTGAACTTTATCTGGAGCGATATGATGTGACTGATTCTTATAGTGAGCATAAGGCCTACACAGACGCAGCAGTAAAAGCTTAGGTGTTACTAATAACATTAACAATAGCTGTAATCTATGTAAGTGTTCCAGTAAATCGTGAAAGCGAGCCAGCATGCACCACAACAGGACCCTGAAACTGGAGCACCTAAATGGAAGTCATCCATCATTTATTCTATTGTTTACATACTGTGTCATACTGTTTGAAGTGAAAAGGTGCTATTTTTACAACATACATCTTGAGGAGTTGTGTCCTGTAAGAACAAATGTAACATTATACTGTACCTCAATCCATATCTGCTCCACACCTGATTAAAATCCTACCTGAGAATCAAACCTCTCTTCACTGTTGTCTTCATCTTCTCCACAAGATGCTCCACGTTCAACTATAGTCCACAGATCACAATCAGAAACAGAATCCTAGTCAACCCTCATCCTACAAACATAATTAGCATACAAGGAATACCTGGGATCCTGGAGACTCCAAGCATAAACAATTCAAAAATGGTATATCTCAAATGTCTTATTTCTTCTCAAAACATTAGTTATAAACAGAGTTTAATCATCTTAAGATAATACATATTAAAGGAAAGTTACAGTTAATTTAACTGTTGTATAACGAGCACATAAAAAAAATGGTCTACTACATCTGTGACTGTCTCCTTAAAAATGACTGACACAACGCTGCACCTAACCTTATATGACTTTAATTAAGACCCATAGTAAATATGAGCCACCAACTTAAACTGTATATAGGCTGCAATCATATGATTTTGACTGCGCTCCACCAGTACACAATCACATTAGTATTTTAAATAAGCACTAATCAAAACAGAATCACAAAACCATGATATGTCGTCATTATGAACACATTGATAGACACAGTCATGAAATGTTTGAAAGATAGAATAAAGGACCTGTGAGATATCAGAGATATGGTCTGTAGGGCCCCATATAGGATTAAGGTGGAGAGACACTTGAAACTGAAAACTTGATAAACATGTTGTGGTATCAGCTCACCTCCAGGTCTTTAATGTTGAATTTGTCCTCATAGATGTAGGCGGCATCAGCCCCAGCAGCCAGACCAGCCATAGTGGCCAGGTAGCCGC